CCTCCAGCGCCATCCACTCGGTTCGGAAAGTCGACCTGGCATCATCAAAAGCCTTGAGAAAATTTTCGTTCTTTGGCATGTTAAAAGACACCATGGAGTGTCGCAAAGAAACAAAACTGGCCGTTGTTCCATTCTCCAGACAAATGGTCAGTTCCCCATCTTTGAGTGTGAGTATGCCCTCGACACGATCAACATGCGTACTGAAATTTGGTCTGTACTCAAAAGAAAAAAGGGTCTGACCGCGATGTTCGACGAACGCCCTGAGAGCTGACAGGCTCGTCATCCATTCCACGTCCCTGAGAGCCTGCTGGGAAGTAGTGGATAGCATTGTGATAGCTTGCTTCTGACTTACCTTTCGTTTCAAACTTACGCTTAACGACACTTTCCTAACGCAAGATAAGAAGACACGTATTATTTTAAGTTATAGGATCCCCTTTTAGCAAGTAGGGTAAGGCTTGGCCATTCCTATCGCAGGCTCCCAAAAATTCATCTTTCTTACAAAAAAAAATTATTCTTGTGTGAAGGGGTTGGTTGGATGGCAAGCGAAAAACTCCTCCCGTTGGATTCGAACCAACGACCTGTAGGTTAACAGCCTAACGCGCTGCCGACTGCGCCAGGGAGGACACATCCGACACAACCTTATCATGGATCGTTTTTTAAGTATTTTAAAGGGAAAAATAAACAACACCTCTCACAAAAAAAAAAACTTAGTCTAAAAACATTCCATAACCCTTGCCTGCATGCCATGTTCACCAACCTTCTGTAGCTCAATTGGTAGAGCATGTGACTGTAGAGCTTAGCAGGTATCACAGGGTCGCTGGTTCGATTCCGGCCGGAAGGAAAAAATGCTTTTCCATCATTTTCCTTCAACTGCGGTTATATTTACTTGCATTTTCAAAAAAAAAAAACAAAAGAAAAATATTTCCCTCGTTTGGAAGGGAGGGAACGAAAAATCAAGGCCACTGCGAGAATCGAACTCGCGACCCCCACTTTACGAGAGTGGTGCACTGCCACTGTGCTAAGCAGCCACGTGCAAGACCTTGGGATATATAGAAAAATAAAATATTATAATTCTTTTTAAATAAAACTTTTTCTTATCTCTCCAAATTATTCTTTTACCTATGATTGGAGCCCTCTACGGAGGGACATCCACAACCTGGAAATTCAACAGAGAAGATTAGCACTCTCCCTGCGTAAGGCTGATGTCAATCTTCGAGAGATATTGCTTTTCAATCTTGCTCCAAACGAGCATGTTCCATTTTTGCTCCTAAATAATATTGGTGACATCGGCCGCTTGGTCTAGTGGTATGATTCCTGTTTCGGGTACAGGAGGTCACGGGTTCAATTCCCGTAGCGGCCCAAATCTTTTTCTCTTTACAAAAAAAAAAGGTTCTTTTGTTCGCTTCTCCTTCGGACCTTTTGGTTCCCGACGACCTCCAACACGGTTGTGAGGTGTTTGACTTACGGGTAAAAGATCAAAGAAGGTGTCTTGAAGTCAGTATTGTTTTGCATGCCTCCGGGCAAAGTTTTTTTATTTTTTTTGTTGATGTATTTTCCTTGCGTAACTATGCCTTCTTATTCTTCTGTACTCTTTAAAATCTTTTTCTTTTTTCGTCGGAAAACATCAAACAAGTATATACATAAATATATTTATATTTATTTGCTTAGAAATGATTAGGGAGGGCAACGATGCCAAAGGGTCTCCTGATATTGAACAATTAGGAAAACTCAGTAGGACAGTGGTGGACGACCCATCAGTGCTAAACCACAACCTCCGACAACTCTGCGCCCTCTTTGGAACGGAGTACCATGAAAAGGCTGACCAAATGATGGGTACTATGATAGCACTTCACTCATCACGCATGCTTTCAACGTCATGGACAGTGCTTCTTCAGTGTTTACGGGAAACTTCAGACCCACGTGCACAACTTACATTGCTGTACCACTTTGGTAATATTGCGGACCGTATAAGTATACCCCAGAGGACAAATGCCTTTAGGGTGTTCGCAAAGGAAGCCTTGAGACTCTTGTCATCTATAGATGTTGTTGTAAGGAATCAATCATTCTTTGTTCGTTTTCGGGGTGCTATTGCTGCGCTTGGTGTTTATGGGGAAAAGGGCCTTTCAGAGGCAATTCTGGAGAAAGTAATACCACATATAGTAACCTTTCCACGAACTGAGGGCCGTCGTGCTGCAGCACAGTTGGCGGCCCAGCTGGTTACGAGCACACTGCATTGTGGATCCTTTACGGGATTTATAGAGAAGGTTGAGATGGATAGTGACTTATTAGGATGTTGTATCACAATGGATGCAAGTTTGCCGCTCCTGCTTGACCAGGCGAAAAAACTCTCTACTAAACCGACTGCATATTACACAGTTTGTGATGCTAAATCTCGTATTGACAAATGGTTGTATTTGTTGATAGTTGAAGAACCTACGCGACATAGGATTCTTCCAGTCGTGATTTCTTGCCTTGAAAAGATGAAGCAGTTTGACCCTACTTGGCAACTCACTTCAGCCGATAAGATTGTTGAACGTGCCATAACAATTGTGTCTAAGAGCGACACCAAGACTATTCTACTTTCGCCGCTGCTTAACCTTATTCGTCTCTTGATATCAAAACAGACAAATCAATTGGATGGGGTTTGGTCTCTGACACATCTACCAGATCCTATGATTCGCTTTGATGCCTTGAATACTATGGCGACAGCGGCAGCAAACGAAATAGAACCCCAAGTTGCCAAAGATTTGTTAATTTGTACATTTGATCTCTTTCAAAAGTATATGACTGCTCAATGTAGTTATACTGTCTCTGGTACGCTTTGTCTTTTTACTGCCTTGACTTCTAAAACCTATCACGACTCTTCAACAGTTTTTCATCAGGTGTTGCGTGCTCATTTTGACTTGGCAAACCCTGTGAATTTAGTGAGTTCCGTCCGTATTCACGTTCTTCAGTTGATAGACAAGATTCCCGGAGTTTATGTGACTACGTTTTTCTACGTTCTACTTTGTGCACAAGATGCAAACGTAAAGGTTCGGAATTCTGCGTTTACCCTCCTCCTAAAATGGTGTGGTGCCCATATTCTTGATGAGGTGCTTTTCAGGGAAACGTTTCTTCGAGGTATTGATTTTCTGGAAGGTTATCCTTGTGCAAGGTTGGTGACACAAGGTGAGGAAAAAAGTTGGATTTCCCACTTTCGGAATACTACTCAGTTGATATTATATTTGATTGAAAATTTACATTCAGGAACGGCAAACACTTCCAAAGAACGTCATCACATCATCCAATGCTCTTGTGAGGGGTTGATGTTTGTCAGTGCTTCTGATTTGTGTGGTGCGTCTTCATCAGCATCATATGGTTTGGGTGTGACATTACTCGAAGATACCTTTTACAGGGCTTTTATAGCGGTTCATGATTTGATACTTTCATCAGAAACATTTCCATTTGATACATACGTTTCCTTAATTTCTGCAGCCACGTCTTGCTTAAAGAGATGTAGAGAAAGTACTTTATTTGATATATTTACACATAAGCAGCTATTTAATCGTTCATGGAATGTTCTCCATCGCTGCTGCCAAGCGATAGATCCCATGTCAGCTCCAAAATTACACAGAGAACGTTCGCTCTATTTAGTCTGGCAAGAATTACCAAAGGATCTTGAACGAATGATTGCTTCATCAGCTATATCTGGGCTTACAAATGTCGTGTATTATCAGGAAACTCGTATTTTTGAGTTGGTAGAAAACACCACAGATCTTTTTATTGAGCTTATTCGATTTGGCAGTTGCTCCCCTGTCTTTGTTGGTCAACTTCGACGTCTGTATTCTTACATACTTGACTGTTTAGACATCCTAGCCGGCTCCAATCCAGTGGCTTCGTTAAGAGGATGCCGAGTATTGTTCGAGACCTTGTTTTGTAACGGTGCTTTGTCGGATAGCTTTTCTAAACGAGAAAATGAGACAAGTACAGAGTGTGGAAGATTTGTCTCAATGACCGTAACAATTCTTACTCGAAGCCTAGCTTTTGATTTGGTGGTTGCGGGCGAGGAGTTTTTCAGCTTTATCAAGGTGCTGATTGAGATGGATAAGAGATCTGGCGACTCTCAGTGCTATCTCGTCGTCGACGGAGATTTTTCACTAGTAAAAAGAATGATTTCTATTGTATCTGATAGGGAATATTACAATGCCGTTCGAGGTGCTGCTGTGGTGGAGCCTATTTTAGTTGCATTAGAGCTGCTTTTCTCATCTTTTTACTTTCCACGTGTCGCAGATGTATGCACACAAGAGGAGTGGACAAGAATATTGAGTGTGATTGATGAAGCTGCAGTAGACCTACAAAGCGACGTATTTAACCGTTGCAGAGATTCAGTGGTCTGTATATTGAAGTTGTATGAGAAAACATCGTTTAGTAACTCTTCGGTATCGCCTACAAGAACGAGATTTGAATCACTTTTTGAAAAGAAGTGGAATGGCACAGAAGAGTTTCTGTTGGAGTTTTGTCTTTTGTGTGAAGGTGTGGCCTTTGGGAACCTTTCAGAGGCCAGTCTAGAATTAGGTATGATGCATGCTAAGTCACTTCCTATGGCTTTGTGTGCCTGTATTTTGGATTCCTCGCTTGTGAGTCGAACTGTTGAATTGTCTCTCATAAAGGAATCTGAAACGTTCATGCTGGAGCTGCTTTTGGTCGTCATGGCTAACATTGACACTAAAAGTATTGTGAAAAGTGCTGCTTTAACGGTAAATGAGATGGTGTTAGGTTCAAATGATGATTTGGTCGCACAGATTATTGATTCATTTCGCTGGGGATGGGTAGAAACGGATACCACACCTAAAACATTGGAACTCATTGCAGATTCCCGATGTGGCTTTTCACTTCGCAGAGCAATATATGAAGCCGCACGTCAAAACTTCTTTTTGTTTCCTCAGAGTCTGGTTCGAAATCCTCACTTTATGCTTGTAGCGTTTTCTTCTTTTCCACAGATAACAGTACCCATCTATACTGAGGATGATCGAGGGGAACTTTTCTCAAGTGCAATATGTGAGTCACTTGCTGATCATTGTATAGGTGAGACTGTAACTATTGTTGATGAGGAGGATGCTGTCGTTTTTGATACTACCCAAGAAGGAGAGTTAATGGGAGCAATGTCTTTATGGCCTCTTTTTTTCCCGGGTGTTGCACAATCATCGACGCTTTTGTCACGTTTCTTTGGGTTGGAGAATGCTACAATAAGGGGATTGCTAGAATGTATTTCGGAAAAACATGCAGCCGATGTATTTGTAACCTTGGGTAAAAAGGGATTACTGGGCTCACTAAGGGTCGTTGATATGATTGAGCTGACCAGGTTTTTGATTAGAGGTGGTATTACTTCGTTCCAAATGGATGCAGTAATAGTTGATGCATTTCTGAAGAGAATTTGTTATTTACTATCAGAGTTGTGCGATACTAGTGAATTGACCATATCCCTAAAGTACTGCTCCATGTTTTTGCTAGTTCTTGTCGCTCCCAGTAGGGAAAGTCGATGGCAAGACGTATTGAATGAAGAATGTATACTAGATGGGTTTTTGCACTTGCGAGATAGAGTCCTTTTTATCATACGTCGATGCTTGGAGGTTCGAGTTCCCTCAATGGATGTAAAAGGGATAGCAAAATACGTCGTCTCCATTTTTCTTCGCTCACCAAGCTTGAGACAGGGAATTGATGAATCTATACTGTGGTTAGTGGTAAAGTGCTGTACATCGTCTGTTTGGGAGGTGATCATAGGGGAGGAACTGTGCAGCTCATCTGATGTAGCTTCTTTGAAGTTTTTATGTAAGCTTAATCAAACTGTTGGGCTACCACCAAATCTTATTGAAGAGATGCACGCACATTATACACCATTACTTCTTTCATTTGGTAATTCCCGACAACTGGATTCAGATGAACAACGTCTTGTGTTTTGGCTTATCACCAGTTTGTTGTTGCATACAGTCATATCAGAAGACCGTTTTGTTAAACCGAAAATGCACATGGCCTTGACGGATGCTTTGTGCCAATACACAGATTTTCCTTTGGAATCAGTATCATCAGAAGCAGCTTTGTCAATTCGATCTTTATGTAATGCTTCTATCTTTCCATATTACACTCAACTTCCTGTGTCCCCAAATGAACGGCATTGGAATATACACACAACAGGGCATCTCCTCCCATTGTGTGGGCGGTGTACTCCTTCAAAAGAAGTGGCAGAGAAGATTCTTACGTCACTTTTACATCTTTACGCGCACGTGATTATTTCGATTCTCTCGGACGCGTCAGAATTTCCCGTTTATTGTGTATCAGATGTTTTTTTCTCTTTGACAACACTTTCAGCGGGTAATTCATCTCTGCTAAAGCATACTCAAGCCTATGAGGGAACTATTGTGGAGAACATTCTCCCATGTCTTTATTCTTGGTATCGTGAATACGCTGCTTTGCTTATTGATGGTGTTCATCTCCAGGGAAACGTTCTTCGTTCGCATGTGGGTTTACTACCTGATACAAACAGATCGATGATGTTCCTCGATGGATTCAATATATCTACGTGTACAGCTGTAATAGTAAATTTGTTTACAGTAGGAAGCGCGAAAATTCCTGGATATATAGATGTGGGGGATGCCCTCACAAGAATGCTTTCAATGGATATTTTTTCCTACGTAGGTGCAGTTACTGCTATTATTATTATCTCTGGATCAGCTACCCGTAAAGAGCTTGCTCCCGTGGCCTCTATGCTGGCACGGCGCTTGTTTGACGACTTGGAGTCAAGCGCATGGGGTGGATTGTCATTTAATTTCGGCATTTTGCAGATACTGCGCAGTGCATGTAGTATTCTTGCGGCACTTCCAGACGAGCATATTTCAATGCGGATATGTGAAGCTATATGGAATGGTGTCCTCACCAAATCGTGCACTCGACGCCTTGAACAGTATGCATATTATACGCTGCAATGTGTTGCTCATATGACAGTTGTGGGTCAGACACAATGGCGCACATTGCGGGCCCTCCTAAACTATACACCGAAGAACAAAGGAGCTCTCGATGCTTTTCCCCTAGTTGCATCTCAAATATCTAATTCTGAAGAAAATGATGGCTCAGGATCTACTGCTTGTTTTGCTCTTGTGAGGCAGACTTCGCTACCGTTTCAAAAATCATTTTTTGCCTCCAGAATAAAGAGAGAGAGAAGAAACCTCTTCTCTCTTTCAACGGCTGCTTCATTGGTTTTGCATGGTTCGTACGGTGAAGGTCAGTTGGAAGAAGTGGATCACAATCGTATTCAAGTGATAACATTGTTGGATTCTCTACATGATGCCCCATCATACGTGGGCGATATTGCGGTTGCCATTCTCCATGAATTAATGTTTACGGTTCTTGAACAAGAAGACGCTTTGTTCATAACCTTTAACAGGTTTGATTTTACACCTGTTTCCCAGCGACTGCTTTTGTATGCGCTTCATGAGATGTCCGAGAGCGTCATGCGGGATAATTCAAAAGAGGACTCCCGCTGGTGTGTCATTGCAGACACCACACGGCTGTTGTTTGGAGCGTGTCTGGGTAAAACAAAAGTTGATTTGGCCTCTTGGTGGTGGTTAACATGTGCCATACTGAACAGTTTTCTTGGAATAAAAAATACAGACTACTCAGGTGCCATTTCTGTCATCCTGGCTCAAACATGCAGCATAGCTACACAGCGAATGTTGGCTTTAAGGATTACTTTGTATCTCTCTGAAGTGGATGGATATGGGCCTGTATTGAGAGTGTTCTTGACAGAACTGAAAGAAATGTGTCTTTCTAGGTCGTCAGAGGAAATCGCGGCTAGATGTGTAACGGATATTCTCACTACTTTGCTACAAGTGATCCTTTGAGACGATGAAAAGTTTATTGGCTAAACTGTTTTTCTTAGCGGCAGGAGCAACGCAATGATGTGGAGGAATACCTGAGTGCCTGGGTGAGAACTAAACTCCTTTTTTCGTTCCTTGCTGTAGCTATACTTCATATAGCTCACAATGAGCGGAAAGGGAAGTGGCGAATGCACTGGCGAGCAGGGTTCGCAAAATAAGGACTCTTCTTCTTTGGCAGATGTCCTTGTGCCGTTATCCCGGGTGCTGAATGGAGAATTTGACTGCCGTCGCTGCAGACAACTTCGTTCCCGAATAGCCTGTTTAGAAAAGGAGCTGGCGTCTGCGCGTGCTCGAGAAGCAAAACAAATGAATGAGCTACGACGTCTTCGGCGTTCTACTCTTGAAACGAAACAACGCCAGGAATGACCTCTGAGCTTTCCTTGCAATTATTTTTTAAATAGTTTTTGATAGTTTTCGGTGAAAATACATGCCTTCCTATGTGGGGTGGATTCTCCCTATTGGCTTTAACGTTTCCCGCTTCTTCTTTGTTTCGTGCTTCTGAGAGTACATGCAGGTAGATTCTTTTTTTTTTTTCTGAAGTTTATAAATAAAAAAAAATACCAAGCTTACAATGAAGGAAACAACCAATAAAGGTGAATCCCTATGTGTGTACTATGTACGCGCAATGGTGGTGGCACTTCTGGGAGTCGTGGTGTACGTAACTGTGTCATACTGCTTTTATGTTTACTACGATAGGGAGTCTGCGTTCCGGGATGCCTTGGCGTGTTCCATAGAAGTATTGAGGGAGAAAAACGTTGCTTATTGGTTGCAAAATGGCACACTTCTTGGATCCACAAGATTGGGGAGGCTGGTGCTATGGGATGCCGACCTGGATATTGGCTACAATACGACGGATAACTCAGAAACATTTGCAGCAATGTTGAGGGATCTGGATTCAAGGTGCTTCGGGGTTTCATCAAGCACCCGATCGGGTGTACGGAATCCCATGAACATACATCGAAAATGCACTAATCGGATTTGCGCTGAGTTTCACGAAACAATCATAAAAAATGGTTTTGCGACTTCGGGAGATGGAGTTTCTCCAGAAAAGGAACTTGTTCCTCTAAAGGCTTGCACTATTGCTGATGTGGTGGCTCAATGCCCACACAATCCTCCGTATTATTTAAAAGAAGCCTATGGCAGTGAATGGCTAACTCGATCGCTAGCTGAGTTTTTCTAGGCTGAGAGAACTTTGGTGACTGATGATTTACCTCTGGCAAGTGGGCCAGACCTGCTCAATATTTCCGTATGAGTAATTAGTGAAATGTGAAATGTTTTTGTTCCTCCTCTATAAACCTATGAATTTGGTTAGGGTTTGTGTATCTATATATATATATATAAGGGTGATGTCAAAAGGTGATTCCATTTGGCTGGGAACTCCAGTGAAGAGCGTGTCTGAGGATTTCTTATCCCCGTACACTTCACGAATTGGCGGAACCGCCGTTCTCTTTCGAGAGGTGTCAGATTCCAGAGTGTTTAAGTGTGTAAAGTGTAGGAGCAGTCGTTCGATTTCCTTATTGGCTCAGATTTACGCCCCTTTAGAGGTTTACGACAGAGTGCTCTACGTATTCGTCTGCTCTGCATGTAGTAGAGAAGAGTGTAGCTTCTGTTTCGCAATTCGATCTCAAAACCTAAATCTATCTTACGTGACGGCACCCCAAAATGCTGAACGTGGTGACAGTGAAGATAAAGGTGCTCTTTTCGAAGAAAACGCTGATTGGGGGGATGGTAGTGATGGTGAATGGGACGACAATGACCACCACCACAAGAACAATAACGGAAATAATAAGGATGACGTCACCGAGAATAGTGTGAGTGAGAGCACGGCAGCTAATGCCATGGGTGTGGGTAAAGGAAGAGACATCGGTGCTACCGGCACGACAGATGTGCCTTCAGTGCTTGCTCCTCATGGATCGAAGCCGCCGATTGAAGGGACTTGCTACCCACGCTATGGCCTCGAAATCTTTCTTGAGCCTCTAAAGCTGAAGACCAAAGCAGTTGCGGTTAAGGAGCAATTACATGAAGCTCAACAAAAGTACGGTGAAGATGTTGTGGAGATGGCGATTGTGGAGGATGATGATGAGCCGTTGCATGAAAAACGGCTGCGAAAGTACGTGGAACGAATCAGTAGGGTTCCGTCTCAGTGTATCCGCTGGGGCCCAAATCAGGAGCCATTGCGATCTTCTGTCACTCCAATTGTTGTACCAGATTGTCCCCATTGTGGAAAAGAGCGTCGATATGAGCTCCAACTTACATCCCCCATTATTTACTACTTGACCAAATCAAGGGATGAAAAAAACCACCCTCTTCATTTTGGAAATGTGCATGTCTTCACCTGCAGTGGTAATTGTAATGTGGAAGCCTACACATCGGAGTACTGCGTTGTCGAAGAAGAAATTTGAGGTGCTCTCCTAGCTGCCGAGGAGATTCAGTTGTGTCGGATCACTAATCATTCGAGTAAAGTGTTTACCTAAGCTATTTCAAGGGATCAATTAAATTGTATTGTTAGTGATGTGTGCTGGAGGGTGCATCGGCTTATTTATGCTCTTTTTCCCTTTTGCTCTCCGTTTAATGCCGAATGCAATAGATAACAATGGACCAACATGTATTTGAGGCTATTGGTCAACAGAATCATGATTTGTTACAGCGGACGCTCTCCAGCGTGAATGTGAATGAAGTAGGACCCGAGGGGTTTACGCCACTGTTCTACGCATGCATGAGGAAAGGAGTGGGTATAACTACAGTGGAGGAGATTCTTCGTCTTGGCGCTGAAGTGGATTTAAAAGGTTCAGACCGTGAAACTCCTTTGTATATTTCTTGCTTTAACGGCAAAACTGACGTCGTGCTGCTACTTCTACATAGAGGTGCTGATGCCAACGCAACAAACGGGATCGACAACGAAACAGCTCTCCACGTGGCGGCCCGCACAGGGAATTGTGCCCTTATTGATATTCTTCTTTCGCGGAAAGCCAATATAAACGCCCAAAACATTCGAAAGGAAACTCCACTCTACTCGGCGGCCAAGGCAGGCTTCCACGATGCTGTATACTGCCTCATTAACGCAGGTGCTAATATCAATATATGTGACATGGACGGCAAAAGCCCTTTGTACGTTGCGTCCGTGAAGAACTTGAAGCATGTGGTTATTATATTGAAAAGTGACCCCAAAGAACTCACTGTTGCCAAGGCGATGGCGGATGCGGAGTTGCGGTCGCGTCCCCAACCAATCAGATCCACCGAGGCGATCTGTGAAGAAGCGGCTGCATATGCGGCGGCTGGCCGATTTATTCCGCAAAGTTCGCTTGTGCCGGAGGTGGTAAAGGAAACAAAACCTTTGGAAGTTGTGGAAATCGTTGTGCCTCGACCCAAGGCTGGTTCACGTAACCCGTTTGCCGCCGTATCGGGTGGCCCCTGTTGGTCGCTCGAAGAGGTGGGGTATGACGAGCCACCCCCGATACCTCCTGGCTTACAGAACCGTTCACCAGTGAAACCGCAACGCATCGGGGGTACTTTAATGCGTATTGGCACTGGCGTCGACACGGTGGGCGTAGAGCCTGTGAGAATAAACAGTATTCTGGGGGACTCCATGGAATTTGCCGTGCCCCCGGAGAAGTAGTTTCTCGTCGCTTTCACTGGCTCTTTTATTTATTATTGGAATAGATCAATGTGTCACTCTCTGTTTCATTCTATTGACCATAAATTAAGTGATTTGGCGGTGCATTTTGCCTCATACCTTCGTGGTCGGATGTCATACAAATTCTTCCGCGTCTCTCTTTATTTATTGCGGGATGAGGTGAATGACAGTAGCGCTTCTACACACGTCATTGTTGAGAGTTGTGTGATATAACGACACGGAAAAGATGAAGGTATATATGGTGAAAAAACACCACGCTGTTATGGGTAAATTGGCCTACTTGATGGCACTGTGCTGCCTCAGTTCAGTACTATTGGTTGCAGCGGAAGAGGTGTTAAATGCTGAAGTGGCCGGAACATTTCCGGTGGAATATGAGCAACCAGGTGAGGATTTCGCGCATCCTTTACAGGAGTATGGTGATACTATCAAGAGTCAAGAAGATAAAATTCATCGTTTGGAGGCAGAGGTTGCGCGACTGCGGCAAAAAGAAGAGAGTCCCGAAGGCTCAGAAGAAAATGGGGTGGTGACGCCCCAAACGAGAGAGGAAGAAACGATGTGGCACCAAGCTGAGGTTGAGGAGGCGAGGCTGCGCCAAGCTGCAGCCGATGCTGAAGAGGCTCAGCGGCAGCAAGGTGAGGCTGAAGAAACGGGGCAGAGCCAATCTGAAGCCAAAGAGACAGCGCTGCGACAGGCTGAAGCTGAAAAAGCAAGTCTGAGCCAGGCTGAGGCTGAAGAGGCTCAGAGGCGGCAGGCCGAGGCTGAAGAAGCATTGCGACGGCAGTCTGAAGTTGAAAAGGCAAAGCGACGGCAGGCTGAGGCTGAAAAGGCAAAGCGGCGGCAGGCTGAGGCTGAAAAGGCAAAGCGGCGGCAGGCTGAGGCTGAAGAGGCTCAGAGGCGGCAGGCCGAGGCTGAAGAGGC